AAATGTAGGTCTGCAACAGAGCCAGACAGTGTTGACAGGGCTCAGTGCGAAGCGCAACGGAATACTACAAGAAATGGGGATAGAGTTGCCATAAGTAGCACGGAGATGTCTGAGGGTAGTCCAGGGTTCTGTCAGGTTGAGAGGATGCAGAGCAAAATTCCTAGGGGTAACGAGAGAACATAAGCATCGGTATCACTTAAAACATGTACAGTGAGGCCGTCAAGAAGGATGTATACGGTAAAACAGAAACGAGGCTAAATTTTTTGAAGGATAATTATATGGTTGGCTGTTGCCAAAGTGACGTGCTCGGCGGCCAAAGTCTGCAGAGTACCATTAACATGGGTTGCGCAGAGGGAAATAAAAAAGGCAAGGCAGTCTTCTGGTGCGCAGCAGGACTGGCTTGTCGAAGAATGGACATGGGCGGTAATGGGGGTGATCGGCGTGGTCTGATAAAGCTCACATACGTATATTGCTTTGCTTATGTTGAGAGTTGTGTTCACAATCAGGATTCTAGTGACTTTTGAGTCGAAAAGGCAGGTGATTTACCGATATAACACTGAGAGCATACCAGAGGCTTATTTAACTAATGCGGAAGAATACGAGAACGAGACGAAAGACAAATAAAAAGGTATGGAAAAATAGCATAAGTATGTGAATAAGGCAGAACATAATTTATCAGGACGACAGTACAAACGCGCGGTAACCAGAGGGTTAGGAGCCGATCTCAGAAACATATGCAATCGGAAGCAATTTTGATTAAAACAAACTATTGTTCGGGTTGATATGTTACACCATCACATGATGCGAGCTGACCAATCAAATTACTGCATATCGCTTTACCTACGTATATAAACTTTGGCGGCAGGCGAGTGGCTGAAATACGCTTTGTTGTCTTTAGCCTCTCGGCTTTTCCTGTGGTCATTTCTTGCCGTAAGTTCGCTTGTGCGTTCGTTAATCAAAGCAAAAGTGTTCTTTAGCAGAACAGCTTACACGTGAAAGGAAAAGAGAGCCGATGTTGTATCTACGCCATTCATCCCAGTGCGATTACTTTACTGCCGAATGGATAATTATACCAGGGATAATTTCGTTACTGCACAGTTGCCGTTGAGTAATGGGTCGGCACTTCGCCAAATTTCTGCGAATACTACGATCCAGAGTGTGGAGTTCTGTGGTTCACCCGGTATGTTGTGCTTTTGCGATGCGAACCCGTTTGCTTTTTGCTGACTGCCACTATGTTGATATTTGGCATTCCTCTGGGAACTTCCGGCGTGTGCTTCTGATATGTGCAGTCTAGGGCCTCAAGTGAGATAAATTGTGTTTAGTAGTTTCCAAAAACTCCCAATATGCAGCAAAGTCGATGTTTCCAGGTCGTGCAACATGCTATCTCCATTTACGACTCAAGTTATCTTGCGTGCCTGGATGGTATTTCATTTAAACATCCTACCAAGAGTTGTATTTCCTTCTCCTGCCTTCAGATACCACTGCCTACTAACTGTTTAGACATTACTCATTCAGGTGCAAAGCTTTGGCGTTCGGCCTTGCGTAAGATCCGTTCTCGCGACGTTGTATCCGATCCGTGGCGCGACTTCGATCTCAAAGGCACTCCCACACTACCTGCATTGCGCCATCGTTACAGTGCAATCAAAAAGAAATGGATCAAAGACGATATTCTCGTTAAATTAGAGCAGACCCCCTTTGATAGAGGCGCTATGCGCGAATGTTTTCGATTGTGAGTGGACCTTGCCGTGTTGCCACTTCACATCTTCCTCTACGCTTGAATGAAGTGCAGTATCACGACCACGACTTTTTTATTTGCTTTTAGGAAAAAAGCTCCAGTGAACGGTGATTGGGATGCGGCCTCAAACTACGTGGCCAAACGTTACCTTTCTGACGTTAACAGCTCTGTTTATCTTGATGACGTCCGTCTCCAGATGGAAGCCAAACTCTGGGCGGAAGCATTCAATCGTCAAAATCCTCCGAAGAAAGTGAGATTGCTATGAGTTGTCGTCCCTTAAAATATCAATTGCTCTTGACTATTCCGTATTACTTAGTTGTGTATTAATTTGAGGAGAAATAGCTCGCCGAAATTGATTTATTTTAGTACTAGCCTTTCAGATAGTTTGGTCGGACATGACAGCCATCGAAGACTTTTCGTGGTCCTTGTGTAAGCGCTCACCCGTGCAGATGTCTCTCACAGTCTTTTGGGCTTTGTGCTTTTTACTGTAGTGCGTTGCCACAATCAGACTGAATGGGCCCCAAATAAAAGCACCAGTCGAATTAATGTTGGTTTTTCCCGGTAGAGAAGTATTCTCCCTGAGGGTGGTTCTGGCAGAGTGATGATAGGAGATTATGGTGCGACCGGCCTTTAGGAAGCCGCCAAGCGCACCCAGCCTATGCAGATAACCCGACTAACATTGTATATCTTAGGATTTAATCCTGTTTTCTATTGCTCTTTGAATTTTCTCCCAACTCTGCTCCTTATAACGCATAGATAAGGGGAAATAACTAAAGCCGTAATACTCACCGTCTGTACGCAGAATAACTGTATTTGCGGCATTCATCGTGACTTGCATATTCAGTCTGTTTTATGAGGTGCTTACGGAATTTGTCATGCAGTACTTGTCCCTTCTGTCTTAGGTACTCGGTTCTTACGGCGATTTTGCCATTTTTCCTCAGATAAAGTGGCATTTTTGACGGAACATTTACGTTAAACAACCGTTTCGGGAATACAGTCGTCATCCGCATTTATAATAGTTTCCCTTGCCTCGTACACTCATAGGCATTCCCCAAAATTAAAGCTTCAGCTCACATTGTATTGCATAACTTCCGTACCAATGGGAAGTTCAACGATATTTGCCTACATTTCCCTTAATAAAACCTGACCTGACACCCATGCATGCCTTTCCCTTGCACTGAAGTATATGTTCTTTGTGTTCATCGCATTATTGTGTAGGTGGATGTTTTTCAAATGGCTGTAATCGAAATCCTTGATAAAGCCCACACAAGCCCGAAACATCTGTCCGAGACTCCACGCCCTGGGTCTATCAGCATAAGCGACTCTTCCGCACTCGAAAAATCCGGGTCACGTTTCTACCACATTGAACGGTATATGGACGGGGACTATCGCAAGTACAATTCCAACGTTGGTTTCGTAGACGAAAAACTTCGAAATACGCCCCAGGTAATAACGGCTTCTACTCGCTTCTAACGGGTGGAATTCATTAGTATAGTCATGTGTGTGTGTCAGTTCTGACGGACCTTTTTTTCTACCTTTAGGCTTTCAGTCATTTCACATTCGAACGGTCTGGACACAGGCTTTTGGTTGTTGATATTCAAGGCGTTGGCGACTTGTACACTGATCCACAAATTCACACCGCCGACGGTCTTGGGTACAATGATGGAAACTTGGGTCTGCGTGGTATGGCGCTATTTTTCCACACTCACCGCTGCAACCCCTTGTGTGCTTGGCTCGGCCTCACACCCTTTGACCTCTCCAGTAACGAGGTGGCTCAGTTGCCGGGCAACTCTGAAGGTCAGGAGGATTATTCGGCCGATGAAGTAGATGGAGGAGAGGAGGAAGATGAAGAGTTTGAGGAGCGCAGTGAAGCTAGCAACGTGGAGCTGGTGAGTGGATCACTATCGGTAAGTCCTTCCTCGCTCTTTCTTAGATTGTGTTCGTGATAGGCTTTGCTTTGGAGTCAGCCATAATGATTGTATGGTTTTTTACATGCTTATTAGCGGTCACTTTATCGGACAACTTTCCGGCATTCAGTTTCATTGTGACTTGTTGCTGGCCCCCTTTACGACATACTGTTCCTATTGGCCCTGTTGGTTTATTATTTGGCTCAGATTTTCTGACGGCAGTTATCAAATGCTTACCTTCCCTTTATAAAACCCGTGAAGCACTACCCATAGGTAAACGGTGCACAAAGTATGTAGCAAATTTTTCGTAATCCACTGCGGGAAAAAGTTATTTATTCACAGGTGGTTTTGTAACTTGAGCCTTTTTATCGAAAGAAAAACAGTATTAGTATCGTTAAACCTACATGCTTAGTGATGGATCATACCAGTATTGTCGGAGTTAACTTTTTGCAGTATGCACCCAATTTGTGTTTTTATTCATCCTATCCTGATTAGGAAACTTGATTAAGCGGAATGTTATTTGGGCAACTTGAAAAATTTCCATTTTCCCTTCTTTCGCATAGCCGCTCGACCTTCAGTCGCTGGATCAACAGAATAAATCATATGGGCTTTTTGACCTGCAACCGCGTAGGAGATCCCTCAGTATCAGTGGAATTCCCTCGTCTGGTAATATGCAGAATTTCAGATGGAACCGACGTGTTTTTGGCCCTACCGTAGTCCGAGACATTGAATTTTTGCGCACCCCGCGCATGCGAACTCTGAGTTGTTCCAGTAAACCCTTTGTTAGCGGTTCGGTTAGTCCATCAGGCTGTGCCGCAGATGCAGGCTTAGGTGGCGGAACTGTTCAGTCAACCGGAGTGGCTTACATGGACCGTCAACGCCGAAGCTCCGTGGACTCTGGATTCGGTTTACCTTTGTCATGTGCCCCTTGTCCACCCTGTCGGCGTTTGTCCAGCACTTTATCTGATGGACCACTGGATAACTCTATCTGTGGGTCTCCACTTACCTGCTTCACAGACGTTTTTCAAGAATCCAGTTGGCAAGTGGAAACACACATGCCTTCTGACATAGTTGGCAGTGGTGG